CTGCCCTTGACATGAGAACTCCTGGCTCGCTCGCCTTCACACTCCATGATTTACACCAGGGCCTCCTCTCCTCCCCTGGTTCTCTAGCTTGCAGACGGCACACTGTGGACTTCTTGGCCTCCGTGACCTTGTAAACCAATTCTTGTAATAAATATCCTCTCATAAGTGTTCTGTTTTTTCTGTTTCTCTGGAGAACACTGACATATACAAAATGGTTCCCTAGTTCAGAATCGGTGTCTGTACATCTGAAGGCGAAACGTGGTGCCAATCCATCTACTGCTCTCATAGTCCGGCAACGGATGACCACCCTATGCCCTGGGGCGTGGTGCCTTATCTGCCTGAGATTTTCTCCAGAACACCCTTCCACAGCCTACCTGGCTATATCAGACTGCCATGGCCAACACACAAAGTATTCTGTTTGGCCAGCAGTGTTTAAAAAAAATATTTATCCGTTGCCGTCACTTAAAAAGCAGCCATTTTTTCCAGATAAAAACCCCTGAGAATCTAGGCTCCTTTTCATAACATCTGTATATCTGGCAGCAGGAGGCCCACACTTTCACAGGCAACAACTCTGTAGCTGAGTAGCAGCTGCTGCTCTACATGAAGCACACACGTGCCGGCTCTCTACGGCTCTCACCATTTCTTACTGTGTTATATACATCCAGCCAGATTCATGCCTCCTCAGTACCTGCCTGGCCCTGAGAGCACCTGCAGTTGCTAACCTACATGTGATAAGAGAAAAGGATGGCTAAGCAGGTGAACCCGCCAGTCAATGTCAGGCTGAGGAGGCAGCTCCTTCCCACACAAGTAGTCTTGGACTCTCCCCCATGTTAATGACCTTCTTACACCATGTAGGATTTCAGTCTGGATATCTGCCTGAGACTCTCTACCTGTCCTGGGCCCTGGAAGCTGTCTGGATATCCTGACCTTAATTCCTGCTGTCTGCCTCTGTTTGGCAGAGTGACCTGTGTTCCACTCCCCTGCGCTGACTGTGCCCTGGCTCATCAGCCATGGTGGCTTCTGAAGGGTAAGAAGGTTGAGCACCTCATCTCCCAACACACACGGCCCAATGCAGCTTTTTCACCTTCAACTCATTTCCATACAGCGTTATGATTCAGACACCACAGTGGGACTAAACTACTGTAGCAAGCAATCCTTCAGACTGTGTCAAGTTAAATGATGCTGAGAAGATTACTGTAGAAACCAGAAGTCCAAGTACTTCAGTCGCAGTAAGTTGGTTATGGTACTACCTCTGGGCTGGGCTGGGGCTCAATGGAACCTAGTGTAGAGACACTCCAGTAACCGCTTACACAACTGCCATAAAATGAATTTTTAGTGTATGTTTTTTCTCAAAGAACAGGTCACGAGGCTGAATCCTAGTCATTAGAAGTTGCTGCTCTTGATTTCCTTTAGGATGTGGTGAAAACTGACTTGTGTATGTTCTTGTCTTTATTCTTGGGTCTGAGAATTATTAAACCTGAGTATATGAGGCTGGAAGGCAGTTTTTCTTTTTCAGGGAAGCCATACTCCATAGTGAGATAACACAACCTTCTCTGGTTTAGTAACTAGAGTGACTCTTACACTTTTGTCATTTCAGTAATCTGCCCTTTATTCTGGGACCACAATTTCTCAACATAAACACACCAGTTGAGAAGTTCAAGGGTGCATACCTGGCCCAAGTGGGACGGACACGGGAAAGCTGATCTATGTCTATCTGTAGATTATCCTGCTATGTGGACTACAGAAACAGGGGATTTGTACTACATCTCCCATTTCATTTCTGGTAGTTTGTGCTGGATTTCCACCACCCACAAATAAAGAATCCTAATTAATACAGAAGTATTTTTTTTTCCTGAGTTTTTATGTAAGTGATTTATCTGACCCATTGACTTACCTCATCCAAGAATAAAATTTAGACATTGAAGTCAGGACTCATTCTCACAATAAATTCACTCTAGTCCACGTAAGAACCATATATGCCGAAAGTATATTAAGTAAAATCATATCATCGAATATTTAATGGATTTTTCATTCTCACATGAAAAAATTCTTTTCATGGGTAAAAGAAGTACGCTTGGAAATATAAACTTATTACGTGGATGATGGCTTCATCATGGTACAAAGAAATTTCACTGTAGCAAATCAGTATGTCGTCAAACTCCATGTTATTTCAATTTTTAAAATTCTACTTCACTTTTCATTTCTTTGGGATGGTGAGGCAAAACTACATTGATGCTGAACAGTATCCTCATCCTAAGAATCTGAAGACTTTATTTTGGGACTAAGACTATCAGATAGCAGCCTGGTAATCAGATTAGGAACATCCAAATGCTAATAATATGTAAATCAGTTCCTAACACAAACTCAGTTTTTAGAGTAGTACAGCCAAATGTCCCAAGGTTATGATACAAAAACTTTAGGAACTTAGATTTTAAAACCTTCAGTGGGCATTCTGGATTACTTCTGCTAGGCAGGTATTTTTTTCCTGGTTGTTTTGTGTTATACAAGAAAGTTTTTTCTTTCTTTCTTTCTTTCTTTTTTTTTTCTTTCTTTCCTTCCTTCCCTCCTTTTCTTCCTTCCTTCCTTCCTTCTTTCCTTCCTTTTTCTGTCCTTGTGGCTTTATTCTTTTTGAATGGATTAAAGATCCAGAAAGACATCGGTGCTGCAATGTAGGCATTTCATCTATGGTAGAAATGTCATTTCATAGTACCTTGGGGGTGTGGGGGGTTGGGGGGAAGCTTTCCGGTTTTGCCAAATAGCTTCCACCTTTTTCCTATCTGACTGGCAAGGAAAGTAAGGACATAATAATACAAAGTTAGGACTCTTGGAGTAGAAAGTATGGAAATTTGATTTTGAAAAGAAAAAAATTAGATTATAATACAAGATATATTTTTTGCCTTGACCCTCAAGAACATGAGCAGGGGCAACATTAGATTCAAATAAACAAGACAACCCATCCAACTGATAAGGCCCCACAAATCAAAACAGATACTGTCACTATAAATAATGGATTGACATGATTCTAGAAATAAAGTTCTCTCATATACTATTGAATTTGGCTTTAAATGAGCTGAAATAGAGTTTTAACTGGAATCCACGCAGGTCGATGAGTCTGTGATCGAAGTTTCCAAGGAGACTGTTTGCTACTCGAATAGAGCATAGTAATTGCTAAAACCAAATTAATTATGCTTGGTAATCACAGATATAATATGCATATTTTCCACAACAGGAGTGTGGAGAAACTGATATAAATTGCTGACTTCCATTCTTACTTGGACTTCATAACCCTTAGACACAGAGTGGAAAACTAGTCAATGAGAAATTAAAAACAAAAGTTTAATGAAGCACAAAACTCCCATGTTTTACTTAGGGTGAAAGAAAATTTCCCCACCTTGAGTGAAAGGTATTTTTTTTAATGTTTCATTTATTTTTGAGAGAGAGAGAGACAGAGTACAAGCAGGGAGGTGGGGGCAGACAGAGAGGGAGACACAGAATCCAAAGCTGGTTCCAGGCTCTGAGCTGTCAGCACAGAGCCCTATGCAGGGCTGAAACTCGTGAATCATGAAATCATGACCCGAGCCCAAGTCAGACCCTCAACTGACTGAGCCATCCAGGCGCCCCAAGTAGAATGTATTTTAAAAAGCGTTCCCTTGGGGCACCTGGGTGGCTCAGTCGGTTAAGCATCTGACTTCAGCTCAGGTCACAATCTCACAGTTCATGAGTTCGAGTCCCGTGTAGGGCTATGTGCTGACAGCTCAGAGCCAGGAACTTGCTTTGGGTTCTGTGTTTCCCTCTCTCCTGCCTGCCCACCCTGCCCCCACCCCCTGCTCATAGTCTGTCTCTCTCTCAAAAATAAAAAATAAAAAGTGTTCTGTAATCTTTTCTATGGTCTATAGCTTATATTCCACCAAACCATACTTCCAATCAAGATTAGTATCTAGTATTATTTATGGCTACAATATACCAGGAAACTTGTACAAGGTTTCTTTCTCTCTAAATGATTGCAAATACCATTAACTCTCTGCACAACATCAAATTAGGAAGGCAGACATTTCTCTTCCATTAGACTAAAGCTATACAACTACACGTTGAAATACAGGGCTGAGGGCAGCTAGCTATATCTTAAATCCCAACCCAGATCCTCATTTGTGATGAACCTAGGCCTTGTGTTACGACTTTCTGTTCAAACCTGCTCCCTGGTCCATTTGGTTTCTTTCATGCTAACCACAGCCTAGTCACTGGGATTCTGCCTCTTATGTGCAAAGCATCTGCAGACCCCAGCCCAAAGTGACTCTCCCCCAGCCACACCTTGCCTGCAACACATTTTAAAGAACGCCATATAGGGGCACCTGGGTGGCTCAGTCAGTTAAGCATCTGACTTAGGCTCCGGTCATGTTCTCACAGTTCACGCATTCTAGCCCCACACTGGGCTCTGTGCTGACAGCTCAGAGCCTGGAGCCTGCTTCGGATTCTGTGTCTCCCTCTCTCTGCCCCTCCCCGACTTGTGCTGTCTCTCTGTCTCTCAAAAATAAATAAAAACATTAAAAAAAAAAAAAAAGAATGCCTTATACACTGGTCTAAATCAATTCTGGACAGCCCAACAATGAAGGTGCCTAAGATGAACTACTGACATAAATAAGGAAAATGAGATGCCCTTTAGCACACAATAATTAATATGCAATCCTACCCAAAGAATGCCTTTTAGACAACTTCCATGAGAGTCTCTCCTCCCAATAAGATTACTAACAGTGATTGTTTTCCCCAAATTTAGTTTACTTATTATGGATTTTATTTTGTAAGGAAAATTCATTTTGAAATTACTTTTAGGGCTACTATTTTAGCTTTTTGATAACAAACTCAGTAATCTTTGTATAGTAAATATTTTTAATAAATTCATCATCTGAACAAAATGCAGGCAAGCCAATCATACAAATATTCAGAGTCAAATAATTACTTTAAAAGCTCATTTACATTCTCACACTGATGTCGTATATTTTTACCTTGAGAAGGTAGGTGGGAATATTGCTGAAATCCACTGGCAATTTCAAGAGGAAACGAGCTGAAAATTCACCAGTCTGTAGGACAAAAGGTATAATAATAAGATTAAAATAAAAATTGATTATAAAGTAACAATTATCACCAAGGCCACAAGTTCAACCTGTTCAAACTGGAGGCATTTGCAGTTTGGGTTTCCTAACATCAAGCAAGAAAAGAAGGTTGGAAAAGTAGGGAAAGATCAAAAAGAATTATTAAATTATTAGGTACTAAAAGCACAATCAGAATTTTTTAAATCTGCATTTTTAATGTGCAATACAATTATAAGGTAGCATTACCTTTTTGGTTTTTTTAAGTGTAAAAAAAAAATACATGAATATATGATTTTTTTTTAATCCAAGCAATAAAGACAGACCTGTCCCTTTGATTCATTTCTTTTTACTAAAGCATTCAGACCAATTCGCTAAGATTTATAACTCACAGATGACTGACATGTATCACCATGCCTTAGAGTATGTCTGGAAATACATACATAGGTCAAACTTCTACCCTTATAATATAAAGCAGTCTATCAGTAGGTACCCCAAATAAGATTCTAATCTCCTGGACAGTCTATTAGCATCCATCATCAACTAATAACTTTTCAGTAATTCTCTCAATTCTCTTTCCATAGGAAAGATGTACAGAGGTTTATAGAATTAAAACATTTAGCCAAGCCTAAAAATAGCTTTTATTTTTCTTTAAAGAAAAAAAAATTCATGTAAAAGAAAAAAGTTTTCCTCTCACTGTGTGATGATGGGAAATCAAAGTTGTTGTTTTTTTCTTTTTTGGGTTTTTTGTTTGTTTGTTTTGTTTTGTTTATGACGGGAAAGTCTAAGGCATCACATTTTTTTAAAAACACTTTGTCACAGTATGGAGAAGGGTCTTTCCAGTTGGGCTGACACCTCGGGGTTCCAAGGAACCTGTGTGCAAAGGTCACAAGGAAGGGTGCTGAGCTGGTGGTATCCTGGGTCTTTCAACCTCTCTCACTACACGCCTGCAGTTCAGCTTGGGATTTTGACATACGGGGTTTCACTATAACAACTTGTTTGAACAAAGAACTCCAGGGATGATCTAGAACTACTCTAAAGAGTGGGTCTCTATCCTTTTTATATTTTGTGAACACTAAACAGCTCCCAATGTCTCCACTGCCTTCCCCCTTAAAAATAAAAAAAGCACCTCAGGTTACTAAAACACATCTTTAGACATAGCAAGCATTTACAAATATTTTTTTATGGATCAGTGAATGAAGGCACACAAGCACACATGCACAGCTCTTACAGAAGACTGCACATCAGTCACCACACCTTTCTATAATGACCCTAGCAACTGGGTGCAATTTTTAAACTCTGACCTAAAACCTTGAAAATGCAAACAGAAATATAAACCTTGAGCTCAAAAGATAAAAGCGATAACTACCATCTACATGGGAGTTGTTGTTTTGCCGCTTATAACATCTTTTAACTTACATCAACCTCCAGCTAAGGACGGAGCACTTCCTCATTGCCACAAGCCTAACCCCATGACACAAAAAGCAGAAATGAGAGAACTGAATGGACAGACTCAAAGCTGAGGCAAGCCAGATAGACTCACAGCAGCCACTGTGCCGCCAGAAATGTCAGTGGTGAGAAACAAGGAAAATCATTGGTGCTGAGCAGCTATCCTCAGTACCCAATGCCAATACACGCAGGCTACTTGAAAGAATAGTTAAGAGTCACCTAAGGATCTACAAACAGCTTGCATCACAGTAGGTGAAAGGAAAAGGTTTGTGAAAGAGCCTATTAAAACTCTTACATTTTATCAGAGTCCAAGATGACCAGAAAGGTATGGTCTTGGTGTTTTGTTAAGCAACTGGAGGACTCTACAATTAATACCACCTGGTCAGTGGCATTCTTTGGACCTAAGCACAGGGGCTCCTACATTGAAAGAGGTGAGTATAGGGATAACATGTAACACTACAGATTTCTACGAGAGCTTATTAGAGGGGTATCTGGCCCAGTGGGAATTTGGGGGTATGGGAAGAATGAAAAGTCTTCCTTTGGTGCTGGTAGAGTGCCACAGGGTAAGGGACATTCATCAAAGAAGACAAATTCCCAACCACTATCCCCATTCTTTCTCCTATATAAGCAATTCTCCCCTCTTTACCCACTCACTCCCACCAGCATGCAAACATCATTTAAAAAGTTTTTCCGGGGGTGCCTGGGTGGCTCAGTCAGTTCAGCATCCAACTTCAGCTAACATCATGATCTCGCAGTCATGGTCTCGCAGCTCGTGAGTTTGGGCCCCGCACTGGATGAGCCCAAGCCCTGCTTCCGGTGAGCCCCGCTTCTCTCTCTCCCTCTCTCTCTCTCTGCCCCTCATGGGATTCTCTCTCTCTCCCTCTCTCTGCCCCCTGCTCACTTGCGCCCTCTCTCTGAAAAAAAAAAATCTTTCTTAACTTCATACCTCACTTCAGGTCCCCTCTCATTTCTCTGTTGAACTTCACAAAACAATCTCCTGTAAAGAACTGGTCTATACTCAACGTACACATTTCTTCTTTTACTATGCTCTCTGGAACCCTCTCCTGTCAGCCCTTTCTCCCCACCAGCCAACCCCCACAGCCCATCAGGGTCACCAATGACCTCCCCACTGCCAAACCCAATGGTCATCTCTCTGTCCTCATTTTATTACTTGTTCTCTCTGCGGCATTTTGACATAGCTGATTATTACTCCTTACATTCTTCCCTTTGTTTCCAGGATCCCACGCTCTTGGTTCTTCTTTACTTCACTGGCCTCCCCTACGGTGGCCTCTGAACTCTGGTGCACACCACCACAGCTCAGATCAAGATCTCTCCCGTTCCTTGACACTTCCTTGGCGATCTCATCCAGGCTCAAGATTTTCAATACCTTTTATATGCTGATGATTCCCAAATTTTCTATCTCTGCCCAGACCTTTTCCTAACTTGTTTCATGTATCCAACGATCGTGAGTAAAACCAAACCCTTGGTTTCCTTCCTTTGATATTTATTCTTCATTTTAGTAAACGGCAATTCCATTCTTTCAATCCCTCAGGCCAAAAAACCTCAAGATCTTGACTCCTCTCTTTCTCGCTTGTCCTACATCCAAGGTGGCAGCAAATCCTGCTGATTCTACCTTCAAAAGAGATCCTCAGCCCCAACCCCTTCTCGCCACCACACAACCATGTGATCTGAGCCACAGCTACCTCTAGCCTAGACGGTTGCAATCACCCCCAACTGGCTCAGCCCTTGTTTGCCAGCAGTCTGCTTCCATCGCCATACACACAGCAACCCTTTTAACACATTAGTCAGATCACGATCCCCCTTTGCTCAAAACTCTCAGATGGTTAAGTATAGCTTCTTAATAGAATAATCTGACAAGGTAACAACTGAGCAGAGCCGTGAAAGAGGTGAGGACGAAAATCATGTGGGATGTGGGGGAAAAACATCCCAGGCAAGGGAAACAGGAAGTATAAAAAGGGGTGATGCGGCCCTAGATGTTCAAGAAAGAACAAGAAGGACAATGTTACTGAAGCAAACAAGTACTAATACTGATCAAAGCTCATGCAGAAACTCTCTTTTCCTAACCCCAGTAGGACGTGCAACAATCACTCATAAAATTAGTGAACACTAAAGTGACTACTTCATCTATGTGGAACACTGGGTAAGTCATTTCTGGGGATGTTGAGAGAGGTTTTTTAGAAGTACTAAGGGATTAGAAGAGGTTGGGGAAGGGAGGTGGCTGGATAGACAATAAGTCAAACTCAATTCATCTTCATTTTCAGTTTAGAGAAGCAAACCAATCAATAAATAGCCATTGTTAAAATGGCGATAGCCAAGTTAAAATGGCGATCTCAAAATGTTCTCATTGTTACACCCAATGGCTCATCTATATTTAGGGGAAAAAAAACAATGAAAGGAATAAAATGTACGATTTAAAAATTAAAACAAGTCTTGTACATATAAGGTAATGGGAAATATAATTACGTATTTAGCACTTGGACTCATGTGAACTGCTAGTTATTTTAGTCCATCCACTGCATTTTAGCTCTTTTGCCCTATTTTAGTTTGTACAATATATTTTTATTCTACCAGCTATTTTAGACCAACGTTCCTTTTAAAACGCTCAGACAATCCCTACTTTATCCCCTCTCAAAATGTTGATCCTAGAGCTAATATAAATTTATGTTTATTGGCAAAAGACTGATTTACATGACTAAATTAATAATAAAAGGCATGTGGATCCAAGGACTAAGAGGAGTTTGTGTTTATCAGCAATGGGCTGATTTGCACAACTAAACTCGTAACACGAGAAACTCAAAAGACTGTGAAAGGAAATTTGGTTCTCTGGAAACCGCAGAAAGTGTTTTTTGATCTCCAACTTTCAAGCTGACCGTACAGTCTTTATTTTGCCATTGAGAGAATAAAGAAAGCTTAGCACTTGTTTCTCACAGTGTTGGAAGTGCTGGAAACTACAACTCAAGAATTCAGCTTTCAGTTCTGCCACTGATTTTCCTTGTGACCTGGACGTCATCTCTTTCTGTGTAACTAAGTAAATGCTGATTTAAAACATACCTTAATATAAAATTTGAACCATAAATTACATAAGGAGTAAACCATAGTGAAAAATCCTTTCTGAGTTCTACCTCAGATGACTTTTTCTGTGTTTTTATATTCAAAGTTCCAACAGTTATTCAAGCAATTTACGGTCACGCTGTTGTCACGTCAAAGATTGCTTCCATAGCAATCTTTCCTGTAAGCTGAAAATGAGACATTTAGATGCAGCCAAGTGAACAGAATAATTTGATTTTTTTGTCAGTCCTTGGTCAAACCTTCTCTTGGATAGATGTAGAAAATTATCTGACCTCTGACTGTGAAAATGTCAGCCGTTCTGCCAACTGCCTTCATGGCAATTTCCCCAGCTTAGCAATAAATATGTGCATCCTTCCTTTTTTTTCAAGTTGTAGTACACTGGCAAGTAACTTAAACTAATAAGACTCTGAGTTTTGGCAATTTGTTAAATCTAACTTTTCTTCTGGTAATAG